CCCAAGGGGTCACCACAAAGTTGAGCTAGAAAGAAAAAAACAATGAAGATTTGTACAAAGGAAGAGGGCACCAAGATTTGTCAGTGCTCAGGGCACCCGTGAGCCTTAATCTGCCACTGCTTCCTGGTGTCTTCAAATTGGTTTCTTTTGAAGAGGGAAACTGCCAAGGAATAGGATATTTCTTTCCTGTATTTCCTGGGTCCATGCTGGCAAAGAATGTGACAAAGAGCAGCCTGGGGGTTTGTTATTGCAAATAGATGATGGCAGAGCTACATGAACCATCTGATATTTCCTATGTGAAAAAATAAAACAAATAAAAATATCCTTACCTCCGAATTGTGAAGGCCACATAACCTGCAGTCCAAATTTCTTCCTTATTCTGAGCCATTTTCTACTCAGGATGTCAGCCTCTGAAGTCGGCCAGAAAAGATTCACCAACCATGAGTATTAACATTATCTTATTGTAAGGTTATGATAACAGAGTCTTTCATGCCTAGAAATATGTTTCTCCCCATTTATCTTTAGAGTGGGGAGAAAATGGGTGGGAGGTATCCTCTTAAGATGCTTGCCATGCCCCAATTGCTTCCACAGGTTAAGCTGTAGGAAGCAGCTCAAGAAAACAGTGAGACACATAATGTGACCCTGTCAACAAAGTAAAGGTTTTCAGCAGGGAAGGATATTGTTGCAGTGATAAATCAGCCATTTTTAAAACTGCATTGTCTTCCCAACTGAGTAGCAAGGTATCAAGTCTTTACCTCTACAACTGGCTTCCCAAATCCAAGAAACCAATTCACACATCCATGTACATTGAGGACGTACGCCTATGCTACTCACAAACCAACCTCTTGGATACCACTTAGAAAGCCAGATGATTTGGCAAGGATTCCCATTTTTGAGAAACGTCTTGGAATTATCCTTATTCATTCAATAAAATCTTACCTTTGGAGAGCCACAGTCACATTCTTCTCCCTTCTCCTCGAAGTAATTCCCACAAACTGCATCTTGAACAATACTTGTGTTGAAGGGGATGTTGATAAGACATTGTGGGGTCTTAGTGATCATAAATTCCTGATAATCCTGTAAACTACAAGAGCTGAACTGCTTGGGTAGTTCGTGGCTGTAAAGATGAACCAAGATAAGTTCATGACATCATGTATACTTGGTCCAGGTAAAGAATTCATTGCAAAAGCATATAAGATGAGAAAAAATGACTCATGAACAAATACAATGACTCTTTGTACCCCTTTATCTTACTCCCAGATTATGCTCCCTCTGTTTTAATTCTATTAACTTTATTTTTCTTTTTTAACAAAATGAATTTGCAGTCAGAACTCCATGTAACGTTAGTGGCTTAGGCTACTTGTGTTACAGTGGGTTCTCTTTCATTTTATTTTTAGTCAGCCTCTTTGTGGAAGGACAGTGATATAATTGAAGGAAAACAGTGGAATTTTGACCCTCTTTTTCTTTTCTTATTTTAGAGGGGTTCTACTTTTTATAACAAATGAATGTTTTAAGGCAAAGGAAAAGTAAATATATTTATTGGACTACTTCTCTAATATCAGGGTGAAAGCCAGAACCCAAAGACAGTCTGCTGGTGGCTAATAAATGGACAACATGGACTTCTTCCAAAGTCAAAGTTGCACCAGATCCATTAGGTGAAGTTTTTTGAGCACGTTGTTCTTTAAGCAAAGCCTTCTGCACAAAATGCCAAGAAGTGGATCTGAAGTATTAAAAAGTAATAATGACGCACAAAATCCTTCAGTAAGGATGGGAAAGGCTACATAGTATTCTCCATACTTCCTGACTTCATTGCTGTAGCATAAAATATGAGGCTACAAAGTCCCAGGGCTTTAGCAGTAGAAACCAGAAATTTGTCAACAGGTGGCATGTTAACTGAGGCTATACAAAAATCTTAAAGATCATGGGGTATTTTGCAGTAGAAATTCCTGAGAAGATTCCACTCCGTTCATTTCCTTTCCTCCCCTCTCCTCTCATCTCTTCTTACTCCATCCACTTTTCCTTCCCCGTTCCTTTCCCCTTTTCTTTCTTGATGAAATAAAGCCCAACTATTGAATAGCAACAAAATACAAGTGGTCCTCAACATACAATCACAAGTTGTTAATCACATCACTGGAGGTGTTAAGTGAATCACACAGTCGTTAAGGGAATCCTGCTTCCTCCATTGACTTTGCATATTGGAAGACAGCTTGGAGGGTTGCACATGATGGTCTCATGAGATGCTGCAACCACCATAAATACATGCTGGTTTCCAGGCACCTGCATTTTGATTCCGGGACTGAGAGGAGGCTGTGACAGTTGTAACTGTGAGGACCAGGTTGCAAGTCAATGACTACCTATACATTGCTCCATGTTTATTTCAACAGGCTGCAATATATGAGAGAGATAGAATGTGTCTCCTGTCTTGAAAAAAGGCTGAGGCCAGAAAGGATGCTACTTTATTTCTTTCTTCCACCTGTTGCCTGGTTCAGAATCATTTTATTCCATTCTGCTTATAACTTCTTCCCACTTTAGGAAAGTCTTTAACATCTCAATAGGCTTCCTCTTTTCTCTATCAGAGTTATTAATATTTGGTTTATTGGCTATACTTCCTATGCTATTTCTCTAAACTCTTGTGTTTTGGAGAAAGCTACTGAATGATGGATATTAAATTGTTGAGAGCAGTCCAGTGGTGGGTTGCCAATTTTGTTACTACCAGTTCAGGTGTGCTCCTGCGTGCACTCGTACGCATGCACAACACTTCTGTGCATGCACAGAAGCATCTGGGTGGGTGGATTGAGCCTCCTGCCGCTGCTACTCCCTGTTTGCCCAATCCGGGCCGAACCGAGAGCAACCCACCTCTGGAGCAGTCCTATCTTTTTAAGTACAACACATTTTAATTACACAAGGTAAAGTGACACAGATATGGCCAAACCCCACTGTTGTGTAATTTTCAGACCATTTTATTTTTTAAGCTCTTAGCATATTTACTTTAACAATTAATTGCAACCATTGAAATATAACTTGATTTGAAAGGCAGTATTTTTTTCTTTCATACTTACCCTTCACTAGCAGCCATAATGCATGGGCCTTTCGTGCAAGTACAAGAATTTGCATCATGGTTCATGCCCAGATTATGACCGATCTCATGAGCCATTGTAGCCCCAACAAAATATGCATGTTTGGCATGATCCTGAAGAAAAGAGAATATTTTTGTTTTTAGTCTGCAAGAAATCGAAAGTGAATCCAGCTATTGTTAGCATTGAGCTAATACCTTTACTCAAACACTTTCTAATGAAAAATCGAAGAGTTAGAAAAAGAGGTTAATAATTTACAAGGCTGCAATTGGATTTCCTGGATAGGGGGGAAACAGTTTATTTGTTCAAGTAGCAATAGCACTTGATTTACTCAGTGGTGAAATCTAAACTTTTTTGCCACTGGATCTGTGGGTGTGGCTTGGTGTGGGTGGTCATGTGACTGGGTGGGTGTGGCTTTCTTCACTTTTTAAAGCATTTTTTCCCTAACTATTCACCCAAACTGACAGAAAAAACATGCTTTAAAAAGTGAGGGGGGAAGTTCAGATGATTGCGCAGATCAGCTGTGAGCCACACGATTGTCAGAACCTTTTTTTCACTTTTTAAAGCATTTCTTTGCTACGGTTCTAGCAAACCAGTCAGAACTGGTAGCATTTCCCCCCTGGACTTACTGTATGTACCACTTCATGATGTTTTACAGCACTTTCTAAACAGTTTAGAAAATCAGCACATTGCCCCCAACAATCTGGTTCCTCATTTTACCAACCTCACAAGGATGGAAGGCTGAGTCAACTTTGAGGCACTGAGGATCAAACTCCTGGCAATGGGCAGAGCAAGTTTGCAATAGTCATTGAAACCATTGTGCCACCACAGCTTGTAAAAGAATTTCAAAGCAAGAAGATTTACTAATTCTTTTTCATTTTTACTAGCTTAGAGCTTACATATCTGTATATACATTTTCTACCAACCTGAACAATTCCTGTAGATCTCCGAGTGCTACACATTCTGCCAATGAAAGAGTATCCTACGGTTCCTCCACTTAGGTCAACAGCCCTATAGGAAAATAATGAAGGGGACACAGTTTATAGAAGCTGGAAGCATAATCTATAACCTTGGGGCCTATAGAAACCTCTATGTTTTTTTGTGAACCCCTAACCCCATCTGTTCCTGCTGGTTTTCAGGACGTCATAATTCAATTTAGACTCTACCCACACAAACCATTTAACCAACCAGATCTGTTAAACATATTCTCTATTCAATTTCACTATACGCTATGCTTTGCTAGTGTCAGCCTTAGCTAGGTTGGGGAAAGGAATTAACACATTGTGTGAATCCAACCAATTGGGTTAATTCATATTCCATGTACAGTAAAAACCCCAAACATGAGTTTCTTTAAAAAACAAGTTTCTTCTATCAATTTAGCTGTGTTGTTATTAAAGACTACTGTGACCTTGGGAAAGGAGATTGGGTTATGTCAAATAAATATCTGAGGGGAAATAATATGGATATTTATTTATTTATTTTGTATTTTATACTTTCACTTTGATCTGCTTTCCATCTGAGGATTGCTCACAACAGAATTGTTATTTCTCCAATATATTATGACCATAAGTCAATAAATTTACCAATTTCCCATTCATGAAATTCTACAAGAATATAAAAGCTTAACTCTATAACCAGATCAGATTAAAATCTAGGAGATAGTTTCATACAATCTGCTAAACACAAGTGTTAAATATTTAATATTTGAATTTATTCTTGGAGATTTCTACCAATTTAGTTCAAATAATTAGGCTCATAATTTTTCTTAGATATCAATTGATGTGGCATTCTTCATTTTTCCACTTGAAAATTTCATCCTGAGAACATTTGGAGAAAATGCTATTATTATAAACCGAAAAGTCTGAAAAATCATTTGGCTACTAATAAATATTGGAAATGGGAAGAAAAATAGATCCCAGCTTTCTTCTAACTTCTAAGGACATCATTCTACATATGCCAAAAGACTTTCAGAATAGAGATTAAAATTCTCTGGGCCACAGGCAGTTCCCTCTTATCCTAAAGTTTTGACATTCAGACAAACTTTAAAGTTGTCATTAAAGTTGTTTTGAGTTTCAATTTAGATTCAGGTGAAATGAAATCAAGCTGAAATTTTGACCTGCAATTATTCAAGGACTTCTCAAAACTAATTCTCATGTAAGAAAAAAATGGTTGATTTTGACCCAGAATATAATTTGCACATGGTTAAGGCATGCAACCCAGGAAGTTCTGTGCAAACACTAACCTTCCCATAATCCTCCACTCCCTGCCCCACTTTCCCTTTCTCCAGAATGAGACCTACGTGAGTAACTGAGCGTTGTCATTCCTTTTGGGCGTCAGCATAATTGACTTTCTCCATGCTGAAAAGGAGTACAAATTATCGTCCTCTGATGCATTGACCACAAACTTACTTCCGTTGGACCAAATTTCTACGCCAACCAATGCTAAACGAATATTCAAAGGTGCATAAACCTGTGGGTTAGACATGGCATCAATCAGAAAATGAAACAGAAGTAAACTTTGAGAAACATTTCAAAACTGAAAAGTAATGGACATTGGCCTCTATGGGACAGTGAAATGGAAAAGATTTGGGAATCAATAAAAGAGAATCTCAATAGCTCAAGGTTGAACTGTGGAATTCTTGGTGCTATCTGAGCTTAGTAGTTTGCTTGAGGATGTTTAATCAGGTCTGCAAGGAAACCATGAAGTTCAGACAACACCAAGGAGCCCACATNTTACAGAGTCAACTGGGATCCCATAAAGAAGGAAAGAGAAACTTGCACCCTTCTCTTCATGGCCCTCCTGCCCCTTCAGAAGATGCAACCAAAATAGCTGAATTGAGGGCTGTGGAGAGCATATGGGGAACTTAAGGGTTGTAAAAGAAGCAGTTTGACTCCCAAAAGTCTCCAGAATCCATTTCTGCCTTGAAAGTCTCAGAAAGAAAAATGTCAAAGCATTACCGAAGACCTCTTAGAACACAGGTATAAAACTCGCCATGTCACGTTGCCATCACATGATGTTTAACTATGTTTTTCCCATTCATGGAGCTGGGGTGGGTGTGGCCTATGTATGACTCATCCAGCCCACAGGTCGTCAGTTTTACACCCCTGATGTACAACCTTCTAAAGCCATGATGGCAAACCTGTGGCATGCATTCCACAAGTGGCATGCAGAACCCTCTCTGCAGGTACACCAGCTGTCACCCCAGCCCAGCTCCACCACGCATGTGTGCATGCCTCCCACTGGCCAGCTGGTCTTCTGGTCTCTGCCGAAGGGTGGGGCCTTCCCCAATCTCCGAAAGTTCCCCCCGGCACACCCTACCTTTCTACTCCATTTCTGCTGCCCATGCCTTTCCTAATCTCTGCAAGTCCCCCCCCCCCAACGCATCCTACCTTTGTACTCTATTTCTGCCACCTGCATCAACCTGGAGGCCAAAATGGGGCCTGGGGGTTCTGCAAGAGGCCACCCTGCACCCCGTTTGGGGTCTGGAAAGCCTCCTGCTCCTGGAAGCTAAAATGGGGTGTGGGGGAGTGCATGCATGGAGGTGCATGTGCAGGGGGATTGCATTGCATATGATACTGCCATTCAATTGGGAGGAGGGGAGGCTCGGAGCTAAATCATTAGCTAGATCTGAAACAACTGAGTTTTACAACTTTACAACTGGTTTCTTGTCACTGGGAGATTGAAGGTCCCAACATCTCTGGAAGGATGTCTATGATAGCCATGTGGGATATATAACTTTGATGTCTAACTAGAGGTAGCCATGGGAATGTGTGCTCTATTGACTCCCA